AGGATAGAAGGCTAAAGAAGGAGAGGACGAGAAGATTGAAGAAATGAGAGCGATGTGTTTCGAACTTACCGTCGGCGAATGGTTTCTTTCTATTCTCCACGCGCGCATCCGGCGAATTATTCTTGAACGCCTGATTAAGCGCGACGAAGTGCATAGAGAAGCCGAAGACGAAGATCGCCAACACCGCGAGAAACCTCGCGAGATCCTTCATGAGATTACCGATGATGATGGCCCACGGCCCAAACAGATGATGAAATGACAGGAAGTCCAGGATTTGCACGCAAGCTAAAAGGAAACTGAGGGCAAAAAGCTGGTTTCTCAGGTAGAGAAGAGTCGGCCAGTATGGTCTATCGACGATTACGAATCCCATCAAGTGAAACGCAACACCGAATATGCTGAAGAGCAACACCGCCAGCTTGATCCAGCCGAGGCCGCTTTTGTCACTGGGATTCGTCAGTTCGAATAGCAATAGTCCTGATAGCATCACTAGCAGGCACCACTCGTACCAGTACGGTATCAGACTGGGTCTCACCACTGGATAGATCGGCGTGATGCCAACCAGCAACAGGAAGACCATCAGGTAGATGTGCGACGTGAGATACGACATGAACTTGATGATGGGCACGTTATTGTACTTGTGGCCGAGCGGAAGGGCGAACACCACCCAGACCGGCGGGCACACGATGAAGGCAATGAACAGCAGGATCGTCCTGAACGCGTTCCAATTCAGACTACCTTGCCACAACTCTTGGAGATAGCGCTGCACTACGGTATGCGCAATCACCTCTTTCTGTTCGTTCTCAATCAACACGTCCAGGAACTCGACATTCCTGCGATCCATCGACGTCAAGATCCTGCCGGCCGAGTCGGCGCCCGCCGCTAAAGCCAGCAATTCGGTGGCCATTGCTTCGCACTGTTTCCCGGCCGCGATTAAATCCTTAGCACGTTCTTTTTCTTTTTCAGAAAGCTTCATGTAGATGTTGGATAATTTTGCCGCAGTGTCGACTGGCGCGGGTGACACCAGGACGAATTCTTCGATCGGTTTGTTGTTATGGCTTTTGCTGCAGACCATCATGTTGTAGACGAACTGTAAACGTAACACAGTTTGTTCGAAAGTTAAGAAATTGAATTCAAAAGAATTGAAACTTCCTGCAATTCTGTGTTCTGGATATTGTTGTGACAATTATTTACCTGCACCAAATCTCTGAGACAGATAACAAATTTTATTTTACATATATGATAAATTTATGTAAATTTATTATTAAAAATTTTATGCTTTTAAATAAAATTATTGTCGTGCTTCAAAATTATATTACTTTAAGATTAATGATACTTCAATTTATCATAATAAATATCAATATTCTCATGTGTATGTGTGTATTTTGTAAATGTAGTGACTTTAATCACTAAATCGATATTCTGATTAATTATTGTGAAGCCTACTTGTAAATAACTGTTCTAAGATAAAGCTTTCCGCAATGAAACTGCGGAATTTTATGCGACAGTATTTCCTGTCTCGTTTTAAAATTATTAAAACTACACATGCATATTATCAATAAATTTTCGTCTACGAAACCGACTTAATTCATTTCGCGTGCGTACTCAACATTAAAGAGCAAATTCCTTACTTCAGTTTCGAAATGTATATGTTTCTAAACGTTGTATATCTTTTAATCTCACGAAACGAATAGTGTACGAAACTTTCAAAAATTTAGCTTAGTTTTAAATGATTATAAAATCATTCTTTTGTGATGCAAAAAAATTGAATTAACAAATTTTATATAAATTTTCTCTAATAATATATATTTTTTCTGCGATTAAAAATATTCTTTATGTTATATTGTGTGTGTGTGTGTGTGTGTGTGTGTGTGTGTGTGTGTGTGTGTGTGTGTGTGTGTGTGTGTGTGTATTTTGTACACATATATAAAATATGAAGAATATTTTTTTAATATTAAGGAATATATTTTAAATTGTAAAAAATATTTTATAGATAAACATCCTTCCACATATCAAAAATAAAAAGTTTGGAAAAAACAAACGGTTTTATTAGATAATAAGTTTTTACGAGCAATTATTTTTTCTATAATTTTTTTATACCGTATGAAATAAAAAAATAATAATTTAAAATGCAATTTGAAAATTTAACATTTGAGCAAAACTTTTCGTTCTACAAAATTTTATTGCTTCAAAGAGTTTTCGCTGATCAGAGCGGATATCTTACCCTTCTATCATCCATCAGAGCATACGTATCATGCTCCTTCTCCATGAGATATTTCAGCACATCGTTGTGACCCTCGGAAGCGGCGAACCAGATCGGTGCGCAGCCGAGATTCGTCTCGGTTTTCGGAGACCCACCACTTTCCACAAGCAACTTCACAACGTCCAGATGGCCGGCACGTGCCGCACAATGCAGCGGTGTCCAACCGTTCTTATCAGTTGCGTTTATTTCCGCTCCCTGGCCCAAAAGAACCTCCACCATCTGATAATGTCCGTGAGTTGCCGCGATGTGCAGTCCGGTCTTACCGTAACGATCTGCGCTATGCAACAATTCTGCTGATCTGCTCAAAAGCAGACCCACGACAGTTATGTGACCACCGAAACAAGCCAGATGTAGAGGGTTCCAGCCGTTCTCAGTTGTCGCTGCGTCTACCTTCGATCAGAATATCCTCATATTCAGTCAAAATGTTTTCTAATTTTTGTCAAGATCATTATCTTAAAAAGCACATAAAACTTTTTTTTTAAATATTTTTACAAAGAGAATATCATTCGAATAAACTACGATCAGACAAATTCGATTGATATCATTAGTAATACAATTTATCGTTTAAGTCGTACCTGAACCCCCGCAGAATTGAGAAGAAGTCGTACGACGTTCTCGTTTCCAGAATAGGCAGCCAGATGAAGAGGAGTCATGCCGGATTCAGCCCCTAATTCTCCTACCAAAGATCCTCCGGTTGGTGGATCGGATTTCACAGTTCCGGGTATGTGAGTGAGCAGTTCTCTAACCGTATCTAGAATCAAAACCAATTTTTTTTACAATAAAAAGATACAAAGAGTTTATGAGAAATACAATTAAAATTGTGTTATTTTATAGCAGCTAATATATACTGTCTTTAAAATGATGTTTTGGATAGTAACGACAGGTAGCTATATCTTAATATATTCAAATTTAGTGATAGCTTTTCTTTCGGTTCTAATTATATTTCACCATTAATATTTATCAATAATTAGCTTTAATTTATACACAAATACAATTGTGCATGAATTATGTATAGATAGTATGTATGGATTATTACTAATTAACGATAATATCGAACGATATTTACTGTTGTTTAATGTCACTGCGTCAGTGTTGAAATAATTAGAAAAAGCTATCACTAAATTTGAATGAGATCCGTCAATTTTTTTACAATTATTTTAAAGATATTTAGCATGCTTATCTATAAAATATCTTCCGCAGTTTAATTTAAAAATAGTCTTCATGTAACTCTGTTAAGATAAAAATTCATATAAAGTTTGTTAATTCTATTTCTTTTATATTGCGTAGATAAGACTTTATAAAAAGTCATTTTATAAATTATTAATATAATAATTACATTATAGTTTATATAGAAAAATTAATTTTATTATTTTGAACCAAATAAGGTGTTTTTTAAATAGACTTGTAAATGCTGAAAACAGTATCACAAATTAAATTTCACTAACACGTCAGGTTTTTGAAATAATTAAGATTTAATGTGACAAAACACGTCAATCAATTATTTTATGCTGGAAAAATTGGATTTGCAGCATCATTTTTAGTCTTATATTAGATACTTTAGTTCTTACAGATTCAAAAATCTATAAGAAATATTTTAACTGGTTCGATCACGTAATTTTTTTGTAAAGTATTTATAATACTAGTGTTATTATACAATTATTTTATAAGATTTGTACTCACCGGCTTGTCCAAAGTAAGCAGCAACGTGAAGTGCGGTAACACCGAGCTTTTTACTGGATATCCTAAGAGATTGCGACGACCTCATCACTTCAAGTACCTGACCATGGCCGTGTTGAGCCGCCAGGTGAACCGCAGTAAAACCCGCACGATTTTCGTCAGCGCAAGATGCACCAGCTCTAACCAGAGCCTTCACGACTTCGGCATGTCCACCTTCCGCTGCCAGTTGCAGAGGAGTCGCTTCAGTTAGTTTATTCCTAGCACTTATTACGCCCTGCCTGTCAAACTTCATCAGTTCTTCGATTACTCGGACACTGCCTTGCATGGCGGCGATGTGAGCGCAAGTATTGCCATCCTTGGTGCAGGCCATCACGAGACTAGCATGCCTCTGCAGAAAGAGTTGCGCCACTTCGGCATAATTATTCATAGCTGCAGCGTGAATTGGTTTTTGTCCCTGATCATCGGTGGCATCTATACTGGCACCAAGTTCTAGAAGTAATTTGCAGACCTCTAACTGACCCGCTCCCGCTGCCAGATGAAGGGGAGTCTGCTTCCTCAGAGTGAGCACGTCTATTGCGGCGCCGTGATCCTGTACGAGGAACCGTACCAAATGCGTATAGCCATTCATGGCAGCCAGATGCAGGGCGGTTCTTCCAACGCGCGACTTGGAGTTTATGAAGGCCTTGTTCGCCAGCAACGCGTCGCAGACTTGAAGGTAGCCATGCTCGGCAGCTAGATGAAGAGCAGATCTGCCCTCGAGATCAAACACGTCTACCCTCCCGTGATTAGCGAGGAGTGTGGTTACTAGTTCCATATGACCCCGATGAGCTGCGATCAACAATGGCGTCCAACCCACGGCGCTCTGTCGGTTTAAGGCTTTTTGCACCTCTGTAGCTGGCATACGACTGATCATCTCTGATAGAACTTCATTGTTGCCCGCAAGCGCGCAATGATGGAACGCCGATTCCTGGGCCTGTCTGGTTTGTAGAGAGACGTCCGCACCGCTATCAAGAAGAGCGCGGACGACTGCGCGATCATCGCCGGGGGTGCCGACTTCTGAAGGTTCGATTTGGGCAGCATAATGGAGTGCACTGGCACCTTCGTTGGTCAAACTGTTTACGTAAGCGGTCGCCACTTCCGGACCTTTCTTTTCTTTTACGAATTCTATCAAGTGTTTGACCACGTCAGCCCTGCAACCTCTACAGGCTAAATGCAAGGGCGTCTCTCCATTCTAAGGAAAGATAAAAATCTTAGAATAAATAGAAATTATTTAACAGTTATCATTTTGAAAAAGATATTGTATATGACATTTGTTACATAGTACATAGCAAAAAAATATTTAATTTTTATTTTACTTATTGTTGAATACTTAATATGTTTGATTATTACAATATTACATAGAGATCATATTTGTATGAATTATATTTTATTTATTAGATTTTATTAGGACACTTGCGCATAAAGCAGGTGATCCGGATTCGACTTCCGGCCAAGATAATATTTTTCATAATAAGAATTATTAGTTTCAGATTTTAATATAGTTTAATATCGATAAGATGCCAAAAGAGCATCAATTAATTATTAAATCAATGTCAATCAATTTAATTCGTGATAATACTGCGGTAGTTTATTAGAGTTGCGTTTCAAGACCGACAATCGTTCGGGGCGCGCAGTTTAGAAAGACTACACTTATTAGTATATATATAAATTCACGTGAAATTATATATCAATAAGCAACTAAGATCCAAGCTAGACTGTTATAGGCTTTGTATCCGTATTAGTTATATTGTTACATTAAACGGTCTTTAATTGAATATTGTAGATTTTATTTCTTGTTTTTTATCGACGTACTTTTGATTTGAACATCGGATCTCCGCCATCGTCGAGGAGCAAAAGGAGTGTCGCTAAATTCCCGTGGCTAGCTGCCACGTGCACAGGTGTTTGGCCATCATCAGTTGTCAAATTGGGACCTGCTCCAGATTTCAATAACATCAGAGCGCATCTGTCGCCATCGGGCACTCTGGCAGCTATGTGAAGTGGAGTTTCTCGAAGTTTTCCACCTCTCACGTGTACCTCTGCGCCATATCCTAGAAGAGTTTCTACGACAGATGGTTTGGCACTTTCTACGGCTATATGAAGTGCCGTATAGTTATCGTTAGTTATAGCGTCCACCTGCGTATAAAAAAAAGAAATTCCATACAATTTGACATTTAAAGATATAAAGATATCTTATTATTATTGTAACGTATTGAAGAGCATGAAGGGTTGAAACGTTGGCGTGTTATACATTTTTATATCTGATGCATCTAATCGTTATAAAATATATTATTTTTACGCACTAACAACCACATTAATAATTTGTTTTCTTTTGATTTATTCTTAGAGCTATATATAATTATTTAATTTTACAAAATATCTTAAATTTGCATAAAAATTAAATTTGTTGATATTTGTGATAAAAATATTAAGAAAACAATCTAAAAGTAATATAGAAGAATAATTAAAATATACGATATTTATGTTCATTAAAAAATTAAGTTTATATTTGTCAAAGTAATTATGATCAAAAAGGTACCATTAGGTATATCGTACGGTTTCAGTTACATATAATAATAATAGTTTATATAGCGATAACAGATCATTTACCTTCTCTCCTCGTTGCAGCAGAGTGCTGATAATACCCACATGTCCGTATCCCGCAGCTGTATGAATGGATCTAGCACCGCGTTTATTTGGCATGTGCAGATACACGCCCTTCTTGAAGAGCATAGTGGCACATTCCGAGTGACCGTTGAGCGATGCTATGTGCATCAAAGTGGAGCCGTCTTTCGTCCTTTCGAAGATACTTGCTTTGAATTTATCGGCCAGCAGTTCGATAACGGAAGCGTGGCCGTTCTCCGCGGCCAAATGCATTGGTGTTCGATCTTGATGATCGGTGATTGAGGCGGAGGCTCTGACACCGTAAAAATATTTCACTAAGGTTTCGTCACCTTCGGCGCTCGCTATGTGTAACGCAGTTTGCCCATCGCCCTAAAATACATGTTACATTTTTAGACAGTTAAATATTTTAAATAATTATATATTTCTCAATTGTATATTTTATAAGTTTCGTTGAAGTTGATTGCAGATTCATACATTTTTATCTTAACTTTTATATTTTGGTAATAAAATTAGAAAAATTATCACTTTTTTTGACCTCGACTATACTATTAATGAAAATTATATAATTAAGCGGTGACTCCTACAGAAAAGTTATCGCACTGACGTGTAGTAATAATTCAACTTTTATCGTTATTTTGATATGTCATATCTTAAATGTACCATGTACGTAAGTGTTAAAAAAAAATTTTAATCTTGCCGATATTAATTAGTCAACACTTATTCTTACACATACATGTTCTCATAAATTTTTGCGACTCAATTAAAAGCCATTATATACATTACTGTTGCGTGATAGTAAAAACTGTAGAGAGAATCATAAAATTCTCTAAGGAGGACGTAGTTAGTACAATTGAAGTAATCTTTAAAGAAGTTTAAAACCTTGTCGTAAATTTTACAACCGTCTTGTTCTCAATTATTGCTTATTTCGAAACATAACTTCGTAGTTCTAGTAATTTATCATGTGCATCACTTCTATTTCGTGTACGATCGATCTTGTCAAATTTTATACTTAATTTCCTTGCAGGGTCAAAATTTAGGTTGAAATAGAATCGGGTAGTTGTGATACGTATAATATTTAGCGTATTACATTATAACATAAATACTTTTGTAAGCTAATATCAAAATTCCATTAATGTTATCAGAAATTAATTAAACAATTATATTGTATCGCATACATTCATATCTCGGAAATTTGAAATTGTTTACGCGTTCAAAAGATAAAAGAAATAAATGGCAATTTCCGACTGTCATAAAATCATAGAGAGAATAATTAAATACATAGCTTATCCAAATGCGGGGAAAATGGTAGAAAGTTTGTAATGTATTATATTTACATCGCGACGTATAATTTGCGAGTTTCGAAGCAAATTTGGGAGTATTATGTATATAATTGGCAAAGTTTCAACGGTATATACCGATTATTATCGGTTCAATTTCACTTTACTTTGGATCTTCGTGCTTGGATTTAACGTACATTTTGCATGTCGACGGCCGCGCCGTAATCCACCAGAATCCGCACCATATCGATGTCTCTTCTTCTAGCGGCTAAATGCAGGGCAGAATCGCCGGCTGGCGTAGTAGCACGAAGTTGATCAGGCGCTTGCTGTGCTAGAAGTTCTCGGCACATTGACTGATTGCCAGCCTCGACTGCTAGCAGAAGAGGTATCTTTCCTTTCTGCGATGGAAGATACAATTAAAAAAAATTAAAACGATCTTTTCTCCGACTTCTTGTACTCTATTCAAACATGGTTATGTAATGTGGTGAAAAAGAAATCGTGAAAAATTAAAAATATTGTATAAATGTAAAAGTTTTTGAATTTTCTTCATTAATCATTTCTATTAATATATTATTATTTATATTAATGTAATCAAATTATTTGAAAATTGTAATTTATTTGGGTAGCTCATAAAGTAATCATTATTTTCGGAAAATTTAGAAATAATGCTTAATTTCATTTTATAATTTTATCACTCATGTAAAATAGATATATATATATTTCTGAAACTTCTCAGGAATGTCAAATGTTAATTCTAATTATAAAATGAAAAAAATAAATTCCACTGCATTTTATAATTATTAATTACGGAAAGTGCTAGAAAATCTCATAAAGATATTTACGTGGGGATTTACATTTTTATTAATAATTAATTAATTAAGTCCGGTACCGTAAATGCAGATAAGGAAAAATAAGATGGTCAATGATACGAGTCAATTAAGAGGATTAGAAATAAACTTGATCTCGAATATATAGATGTAAATAAAGAATAATAAATTAATGTGCTCTTTAATTCTAAATAAGAATGATAAATTAATATGTCCTCAGTGCATACCACTAATGGTTTTTCTCAACATAAACAATAATCTTTAGAAGACAGCCGAGACAAAATTATAAAATTGATTTAAATTAAAACTAATTGATTAATGCATTGAGAAAATAACGTATTTTTACTTTTTTAATCTTCTTAGTCGGCTCATTAGATGCTTTCAGTACTAAGTAGAATGTGATTGATTCTTACCTTTTGGAGCCAACCAATTACATTAAATTACTACGTAGCCGCTTAGTGAACGATTTGTAATACTCATGCACTCATTGGCCATTAGTTTTCTTTACCTTTATTAATGTTTAATACACACGATAATTTTCCAGTCCTTTTTTGTTATACATAGTAGCTAAATTGTTCGTGTTCTGAGTTAATCTTTATTATTTTTATAAGTATGCAAAAATCATTAAGTGATTAAGATTTTTACATACACAGTACATTAATATCTTTAAAATATTATCTATATTTATAAAAATGTGAATTTAAAAAAAATAATAGAAATTATATTAGTGTTTAGTCAGAAGTTTCTAGCATTTAAAAAAAAAGAAATGCGAAGAATACAAATGCTGCAGTCGTATATGTACTAAGGGTTAATATTTCGTATAAAGAAGTATTTCGACAAGCATTATCGTAATACGTGACATGAAAGTTTTTCGTGTTTATGTCAAACGTCTAAATATGCATCAGCTCGATACTCGATATAACATAAATCCTTATTGTTTTTTTTTTCATACAGACGACGAGGCCGGACTCCTCCTCAATCTGTAGCGTCGTACTATCGCGACGAGATTGTATGACAAAGGGCAAGGAAGACAAGGAGGAAAAAGCGAACTGGAGAAGAGTTATGGCGCCGTTCGGTACCAGGTAGCGATCTCTCGGCGCGCGGCACCTGTCACGCGAGAAACGCGAACGCGAAACGGGAGCATCACGCCGCAGTTATTACAGAAAAATTTTTATCTTTGTCTATAATTTGAAGTTTCGGGGCCAACATGAATCTCCTTATGGTGTCACATTATTATCTCGTTCTGTTATATTGAAAGGATTGAACTCAACTGGCAATATTGGATCCCTCAAACTGATGCATTTAATTAAGTTTTCATTTGCCTTTATGCAGCTTTGTGAGATTATTTTGGGGTTGCTACTTACTCCGTCGATCTTTAGCCTAATATCTCGTCCAGCAGAACCCAAGAGAGCTCGTAAGATCGACGTAGCGGTGCCCGTCTGCCTTGATGCTACCAGATGAACCGCCGTTTGTTGTCTTGGCTACGAACAATATGAATATATTATAATTCAAGAGTTGCGGATGTTTATTAAATAGGATAATTTAAATAGAATTTAATATGCATTCTAATACTCGGGAATCCACAATTGTCTTATTGTTTAAATATTTAAACACAAAAAACCAAGTAAAATAGCCAAAAAGGACTAAGCTAAAATTCTAAAAAAAAAATCTAAACTGAAATCTAAAATTAGTTAGAGACTAAGCAGATTAAATTGTTTATAATAACTCGAAATAAGCTCTTGTCTAAAGAATATCAGAGTTTCAAAATATAGTCTTACATTATATACAATTATAAATTTTATTTCAAAATCGCTACTTTTTAACAAAACAAAATTATTCGTACCCCTCCTGTGGCATAAGGATCAACACCTCTCTTAGACAGCAATAATTTAACGACATCCTCTCTCGAATACATAGCAGCGATATGGAGAGCATTGTAATTATCCTGTAGAAAATGTGTCAATGAAATGCATTGAAAGACGTCTATTTTGAATGTCTGTTCCAAAAAAGCTCGATCAATTTATTCAATGATCCTGAATTTGCAAATTCAGTAATAACTCCAAATTCTTTTCATTTCTTTTGGAGTTTTATTGAATTAGCGGTAATCAACATATGAGAATAACATTATGGAAATAAGTACAACGATAATGGAGCCATGAGTTTTGCCCTGCCGCACCCGTCAGGCTGACCCTTATGATGTTCAGGTTTCAAGTTTCTGATCACGGCACATCAGCATGCTATTTGAAAATTATATTGGAATCATTGTGGGAGCGGTAGATCGATAGTAGTGAGTATGCAACGCCTTGCACGTGTTTGCAAAGTGATGCTCTAACATAGTTAACAGCACGTCACTCTTAACACAAGTAAAAGGAGTAATATGAACCGTATGAAGAAAGCTTATTTTCGCGTATCAGTATAATAATAATTATATAATATCTGATAGTATTTTTTATAGAGGAGCTACGCGGTTTCTGGGTTATCTCCAGTACATCGTTAAATTTTATTTAACATATCAATAAAGATAAATCGAATTTAACCATGTCGCAAGACACGATAACCCATAAATTATCTGCGTAGTTTCTTTGAATGATTACGTTTCATTGATAATAATTACTTTTCTAATGATAATCACTCGCTAAAACAAATAGGATTTGAATGGGAAAAGGAAAAGCGTTATGATCGATTATTTAAATTATTTAAAATCAAGTAAATCGTAGACTGTAACGTGTATAATCACACGGAAAGAATGATTTACTGAAATATCTAAAAATTTAGCTAGATACAGGTCTAAAAATAATTTTGTTGGACCATCAAAATAATTGTGTAGAAATCTTAAATATAAATGCTGCAAAAATTGTTGACATCCTAGCAACCTCATATTAAACTACTCAACAAAATTTTTACATTGTTCATTATGCTTGCGATTTTTCTACGTATTATATTGATAGTCTAACAAAATTATTTTTAGAAATATATCCGAATAACTATGTACCCCTTCCCCCCAAGCGAAATTTTTAGATAAAGAAAAATTGTTCTTTTTCCTGTGGCTATACACGTTCCAGCCTACGCAAAAGACTTTAAATAACGCGACATTCTTTTCTTTTTTCCTACTTCGTCCTAACGCGTAGGATACTTGAAATCGATAAATTTTACTATAGAGTTCTTGCGGTGACGTTCTTAATGACTTTCAGAAGGTTGCACCGAGTGCGCTACATATAATTGAACCCCTGCCCGGGATGTCAAGCATGAAGTGCCATTACATAGAAGTTGACGGACAATTTTTTAACGATTTTTAACGATTATATTTTAATCTATCTTTAAGATCGAAAGCCTTTTTCGTTATGGCTGATAAGTTAGCTGACTTGGCGGCCTACTTATTCATTTACACGGGTACCCGTCTTTGTCCAGTCGGTCAGTAAGCATAAGCCCCTTGACCTTGTCTCTCCTTCACGCAATCTTTTTCCCTACCGACTTAGTCACTCGACTTAGCACAAATCGCGACCTGATCATTAGCTGTACACGTTTCGTGGCACGCGTCACCTTCGCGGGTGCTATTACGTGCCAGTGCCACGTAATCCCAGCACGAGAACTTATCGCGACGGCAATGAATCAAAGAACGATGAATCAAATGTTTTTACCTTGGTTTTAAACAAAATATCTCGAAAAACAATCATTCGTCCGGATATTATTCTCACAAGTAATTTATATTTTACAGAGTATAATGTACGTTTCCTTGAATTTTATTGAGGATGGACAAGTATCAAGACATAGAGATAAATAGAATTTAATGATGTAACAAGACACGGAGATAACTTGTAAACTTTCTGTGTAGTTTTTTTGAGAATAATTAGGTCTTTCATTGATAATAATTACTTCTCCTATTGATAAATCACTCGCTAAATCAAATAGGATTTGAATGAGAGAAGAAAAAGACTGGTCGGTTCGCAATTTTTCGCAAATAACTTATCTTATTTATCGCGCACAATACTTGCATTATTTCTGGCGCCCACATCAGATCCAAGTTCGATCATTCGATCGAGCAGCGCGCTGCGGTTGTCCTTCACTGCGTACATTAATGGCGTCATCCCCGTCGTCTGCAAATAAAAAATCTTTATTTAAGAAAATGTGTTTGTTGTTGTGATCATTTTACAATTGTTCGACTGTCTGTATCTAAAATTTCCCATAAATAGATCACTTTTGCGACACAAGAATGTATTTTATATATGGAAACATTACTTCCGCAACTATTTATAAAAATAATTGATTACTTTTAAATTTTTTTAATTAAATCTATTTGAGTATTCTTAATTTAATTTCTTTTGTGCGCCAGAAACATATCTTAGTGACGCGAGTAGCTTCATGCTTTGAGCGATCGACTTCAAAATTTGAAATTTATTACTAATTTTCATATATGTATAAAAATAAAAGTTGTATATGTACGAAACAGTTTATTACGAAAAAGTTCATATTATTTAACAATACAATTTTATAGTTTAAATAAAACTTTTCTCATTTTATCTTAATTAATTTTTAAAAACACGCCTACTAATTTTTATATCATTTTTAAAATCATTTTTGATCCTATATTATACAAAAAAAATGTAATTTTAAAAAAATGTTTATTTATTTTAATTTGCATTGCAAAAAACAAGCGAAATTTATTAATTTAATTTTTCCATTTTGTTAAAAAATATGTGTAATATATCCTTTATCCTCTTAACTTCTTCATCTTTTTTAGTATAGTACATACGAATAAAACTAACCGTGTCCAAGACACCTGCAAGCGGCACAATGAAGCCATCTTCTCCCGCGCTCTGCACCGTCTTCTCCAGAGTCTTGAGCAGTTGGTCCACGGGGGCCCATTCTCCACGTGCTGCCAGGCCCAGCAGCCTTTGGGCCCCTTCTCTGGCGGTCGCTCCGGCAGAGCTGGGCTTGCTTCCAGGCTGCGATGGTTCTCCTGCAGTCGCACCGCCATTGCTTCCCGTCGAGGCTGACCCACCATCGTCTTTACCGCCCGACGGGCTGTCCTCTTTGCTGGAGGGATTCTTCTTGTCGTCTTTGCCTCCTGGTGGCTTCTTGTTGTTACTGCTCATGCTATGCTACGTATCTCTCCGCGTAGCATGATTCGTTTGAGTGACTCACTCTTGTTCAAAATTGCACACAATTGTTGAGATGGTATGGTACAGTGAGAAATTGTACGGCCATCGGACAGATATACCTTTCCGTTTGGCGCGACGTATACTTGGCAGAATGGAAGATTTGACGACGCTCACATTTAAACGGTTTTGAGCGATTCTGAAAGCTAACAAGAAATGAGAAAGAGCTTTATTTTATAGAAAAAAATTTCGCATAGAATTAAAATTTATGATAATAAACGCGAAGAATATATTCTTCAAATATATTATCAAAATAATACATGTAAAGCGATACTTTCATAGGAAATGCGAAATAAGTGTAAAGTCGTGATCAGACTAAAGATTAAGATTGGATTGGAATTTAACCAATCAAAGCAAGGTTCATTATATAAACTTGAGATTAGTTTTCTTTCTTCTGATTAATTAAGTTCCAATCCAATCTCAATTTCAATCTTTATCTGATCACGACTTAACGGAACCCGCAGAACACAAACTAACAAAGTTACACAATGTTATAATTTCCTGCTTAATTATGAAACTGTTTTATACTACATTTATGTTGTTGAATTTTAATATTAACTTAATATATATACATTAATATGTTAGTTTGTGTTACGCAGAAAGTCACTGAAAACGATTGTTATGTTTAAAGTTAAATCTTCTCGCGATATCTGTAACATTGGTACAGAATTGTAAATAATATTTTGTATCATTCATGGAAATTCTATAAAAATTCGTAATTATATCCTAAAGTTTTATTGATTTCTGAAATTTCTTTTTTAATATGTCAAGATATTTGGCTCATGGATGTTTATTAATATCATACAATTATTTATCGTATTTTTATCACGCTATCTCTATTAATCAACATTAACTAAAAGTAACATAATATTAATGTTATAATTTCACATTCTACAATGTAACTGTTACGTAATATTAAATGTTATATTACATTTATATTGTTAAGAAATTATAATATTATGTTATGTAACTTTTAGTTGATGTTGACTAGGGACTCTTTACAAACGCAAATACCATGAGAAGAAAATTAAACCTTAACCGTAATGATGTTTCCAGTGACTTCCGTTAGACTTAGCGTTTTGTAAGAGAGTATTGTCTTGACACAAGCGATAAGTTCTTGCAATTGACGCACTAATTATTTTTAATTTAGTAAATTGTATCAAATAAAAATGTTAACGGCACCAAAATAAGTGTTAACTGCACGATCAGCCTAGCGATTCTGAAGACGGTATGTAACCCAGAGTAAGTTTAGAAGAGGCGAGAGAGGGTTGCTTCCCTTCGGGCCTCGCTCGCTCGGCAGGATCGACCAATCGCCGAGTCGTTCTCGCGGTTCGTTAGGGTACGTTGCACCAATACTCCTCTACTTTCGATCTGCACGGATTACATTTCGCGCACACAGACGCGAATTCGTGATAGGCCGTGCTGGTCGTCGCTGGTAGCAGGTAAGGAAATCAAGCAGGAGGTAGTAGTTCAGGTGGAGGAAGGGTGAGAGTCGCGGAGGGGCTGTTATGGCTGCCGTCGACACGCGACTTCCGGACCAGGCTGGCAGGCACGCTATCCGTCTATCTTGAATCCACTGGACTCTGCCACGGCTCTGAATAACGTCCTTTATTCCTCTTCGCTTTCTCTTGCCCGAGACTAAAGACTCGCTCGTGCGTGGTCTCTATTTTTCGCTCTCCCGACATGCTTTTTTTTTCTTCCGATAATGCGTATATTTTCGACGAACAGGAAAATGTGAGTAGCGTGATGAAAATGCGATAAATTGTATGATATTAACAAAACACCCATGAGCCAATTAACTCTGAATAATATCAAGAAACATTTGATAAATATCTTGACGTATTAAAAAAGAAAATTTAAAAAAGGTCTCTCTAAAGGTATGGTATTATAATTATTGAAAAAGTATATAATTTACGTTATACAAAATTTTTATAATGTGTAGATCGTTGCCTATATACAGGCAGTTTTTCATGCATTTACATACTGTTTATCTGTGTCGGATGATAATTGAGAGTGAATGTGATTAAAACTATTTATAGAAATGTGTAAGCTCAGTTGCTACGTATACTATGTCTATTACACAATATAAAAAATAACTCGCATATACACTGTAAAAAATAAAATGTTAATTATTTGTGCATATCTCAGAAAATCCACTCAACGTCTTTGAATTAAAATTAACATTATATTTTTTACAGTGTAGCCAATTGTTCTTTGTTTGTTGTTGTCAAAGCTAATAATGCTGTTTAGATGCTAACCATCTGACAATAATGTATACTGAATTATTCGAATTTAAATTGTCATTTAAATTGCGAGACGATTTTAAAGCGATAAAATGAGTAAATAATAAAAATAATTTCGTGGTGTCTCAGAAAAAAGTTGTTAAATTAACTTATTTGAATAAATCAGTTCTACTATAATAATTCTTATAAAATATATGTCATATTTGGTATAAGTTTATTATTGTTAAATTAACTTATTTGAATAAATCAATTCTATTACAATAATATTCTTATAAAATATATATCTATATATATATATATATATAATTTAGTATAAATTTATTTTACAGCTAAATAGTTAATAATATTTAATTACTTAAATTTAAAAGATATTTGTGTGTAAAAAAATGCAATATACCTACATATTTTTCATAATAATTATGAGATTAAGAGAGCATTACTAATCTTTAATCTAGTAAAAGTCTAATTTAATAAAATTAATAATCTTTTGTCAGTATGTATCGTAGACATCATAATGCAATGTATATACATTCTCTATTTATATAAACAATGTTTGATATTGACTTTGGATAAAAAAAAGTAAATGGAGATAGTTAACAATGTCAATAATATAATACTGATATTTGTGTTAATAACTGTCTGCTTATCTTGTATTCGCATTTACTTTATTACATCATCAGTGTATTACAAATGTCTTGCGACGTTACGCGTTGACAATATCAGTTAGCGAGGGAAAGCGGTCTCTGCATTGCAGTGGTCCGCTTCTGTTAGGTTATTTCTATTCGCAATATATTCTGTTCTAAACGCACTAAATCACTAGACAGTGCTTCCTAATTTATTCAACAACTGTTTAGTGCATTTCCGCTATGTGAGTATATGTGTAATAGATAGAAAGAAAACCTTGACAAAGATTGATCGGAAAAAGAACTGATAAGATTAATAGAAAAGAAACGTCTATTGCAATCGCGTATATTGATAATAAAGATTATTATATATCCATTATTTTTTGTTATATATGGGCAGTTTGATAAGTCAATCATATTTTTACTTTTTTAAAACCAAAATTCGATTTATTTTTTAATCATTTTCATTTTTTAAAAAGTCATTGACTTATGTATAAGTTATTAAATTATATATATATATATATATATATATATATATATACATAAAAGATATATCATATATATTAGCAGAGTCGAGACTAAACATTTCAGCGCTTGAC